GGGAAGGAGACAACGAGGGTGCTGTGTCAGGTGAGGCCCCCTGGAGCAGTCTGGAAGGCAGTGTAGGCGACAGCTTCTCCTTGTCTGATCCCGGAGAAAGGCAGCCAGAGTGAGTATTTAGTCCCAGGTGCCTGATGGTTCACGGATCTGTGCGGCTCTGGCTGCTTCTGGGAGGGGCAGCTGTCTGGGACCAGTAGGGAGAACACTGGTGAGGGGACCAGGAAGACACGGATGGAGGCTGGACGCAGGTGTGCGGCCCCGCCCCGGGACGGTGCTGTGTCTCGCCTCCCCCAGGGGCTCTGCTTCTCTGGCTGCACTGGGGAGGGTGTGCAGGGAAGCGCGGAGCTCTGTCCCTGGGAGAAGCTCTCCAGCACTGCAGAGTCTGCTGCTCCTTGTTCTCTGGGGCTCCCGGGTGAGCGATGAACAGTATTTAAAGCCCTGTGAGGAGAGCAGCACCCAGGAGAGGACCAGCTCTTTGGGGCTGAAGTGCAGGGGGCAGGAGTCTCAGGCTCAAATCAAGATCACCCTGCGGAACAGGCAAATGAGCCAAGAGGCATGGCTTATGGCAGCTCTGCTGGGAGTCAGCCAACCAGGGCAACCAAAACTTTGATTTGGGGTGGAAGCTTTTATCCGGAGGGCAGTGGTTATTTAATGTGGCTCCTTTGTGTTAGTCAGAGTGCGCGCCCCCTGCTGAGTAGATGTGGCACTGCTGGCACAAAGATTTTGGGGAGAGATTCAGTTCAGGGCCAGAGCACAGAATTTGATAGGGCAGGGAAGGAAGGGGGTGGGTGTCCCTCAGTCGCTGCACCTGTTGGGTCCCCTTGTGAAGTGTGCGCATTGTACAACTGTGCATGAGAGCCCTGAGAGTTTCCCCCGACTGTGTACTGGGCACAGCTAGCAAGTAAATACAGAGGGTGGAGCGAGGTCAGGATTGGCCACTGTTTTGTCCCCTGGCATTAAGTGCAGTGTCGGGTTCAAAGTAGGCATTCGAAAAGTGCTTGTTGAAGAATGGATGAATGGATGGATATTAATGGTGTGTATGAGGTGTGATTAAAATATATGAGAATTTATTACAGTAAAAAGTGTATTGCCAAAGAGGCAGGGTGGGGTGAAGGGGAAATACGAATACACACCAGGCTGAGCTGTCATCCTCAGAAATAAAACCAGGAAGATGTACAGTGATAAAAATAGAACACTAACCCCCCCAGACGCTCCCTTTTGCTTTGAACGTGCTCACCCCACTGTTCTTACCACTTTCGGGAGCTGCTCTGGAAGTGCTCTCTCTCGAGGGTCTGTGTGAGATCAGACTGAAACAGTGACAGCTGTTGCAGAGAGCCACCAAACACGAGGGCAGTCCCCGAAAGGCCCACACGCGTCCTCACCCACCCGTTCACCGCATTCGGCACCACGCAGAAGTCAGAGGCCGCGAGAAGTCAGCTTTTGGAAGTGATCCAGGACATTGAGGCAGCCAGGACAGTGCAATGACAGGCAAACAAGACCTTCCAGAGCAGCTTCAGAAAGTGCAGGAGCGATGGGATGAGGATGTGTGGAGCTAGGGGAAATGTTTTAAGGAGATTACTGGCAATGTGTCGTTTACTGTACTGAATTTTTAATACTTTTAAGTGTTCACCATCTTTTTGATCAGACTTCACAAACTGTTTGACACATCATGACCAATTAATGTGTGTCAAGTGAGTAAATGAATACTGCCCAGAGGCTTGTGTGGTCTGCCCTGGCTCCCCACAAGAGAGGCGGTGTAATGTAGGAGCTGGGGTAAGCCTGCCGGGGTTCACTCCTGTCTGTCCCTGGCTGGCTGTGTGATGTTGTGCGAGTCACACCTGGTCTCTGAGCCCTCTGGAGACAGTCACCATGGGCGCCTTTCGCGGGCTGCTGTGGGACAGGAGGAGTTTATGGAGAAAGGCACCGTGGGATAATAGTTCCTCAGTCACTGTTAGCTCTTATTACCATCATCAGAGGCGACAGCTCCTGGACGCCCCGGGTGGCCAGACCTCCTCGGAGAGCTATTCGTCATCTGGCATCATGTTCCAGAAGAGATGACAGCAGTCGCCGTGACTGTGGGAGCCCCATCGGAGTGCTTCAGAAGTCACAGTCGCTCCACGGCAGGGGACACCCGGAGAAATGGATCACAAGTGTCCCGAGCACGCCCCGGATGGTGTAGACTACTACATAGCAGTGCTACACGCATGCGTGCCCTTACACATGCCGTCTTTCTGTCAACAACAGTGTAGTGATACAGCATATGGCTGTAAATGTTGAATAAATTATACCCCATAAAATCCCTATAGAGAAGGGGTAATTGAATATGGACAAGATGACATCTATTCTCTCTTCAGCCTACTTATTACGGCATAAACAGGAGGCCCTGACTACTCACCAGTTACGGGAGCTCTCTTTCCCTGCAGTAGCCCCTCAGTAATTCAGGGGAAAGACCCACACTCCCAGGAATGAGCTCTGATTGAATATACCCAATCAACCCACCCCATTCAGTGATTGGTTCAGAGCTGGACACATGACCAATTTGGGCCAATCAAACGAGAGGTGCTGTTGACTTGTGGTTCTGGGAGGAGCTCCCTAGAGTGGCCTTCTCCTCCCTCCTGTGAGGAAGTGGGTCTAAGGCCACTGGCCCTTGAGAATGGCGGCTTCTGTGGGAGGCAGGGAGACCCCGGTGACATCACTGAAGCTGACTTCCCCAGGCTCTGTTGGGTACGCGAACCCATAAATTCCCACATGGTTTTGCTAGTTTGACTTGGCTTTGCCCATACCTAGAGGATGGCTCCTCCATTTATTTTTCCAGTCTTTCCCTTATGGTACACACTTTATACTTTGAACTCACCAGAGACTAGTGTCTTGAAGGTTTAGAGCTTTGTTTCTTGACTCTGTTCTCCTTTTCTTCTGAATCAGCTCCTCTCTGGGTCAGTAAGTGCCTGGCTAAATAGCAGGGCTCAGGGGCCAGGAAATTGAGGGGCAGAAACATGGGTTCATATCTCAAAATAGTATCTGTCACCCCATGTGTATGTCTGGGGCTTTCCCTACATCTTTTCACTTAATTTTCCCATCTGCGACTATACCCATTGTTGGGGAGAAAACTGAGGCCCCATCATGCATCTGTTGAGCTCTGTGTTGAGCCGGGCAGAGCCTGGGATGCCTGACACCCGCTGAGAGCTGGGTCACAGCCTGCTTCAGAAGCATGGTTAGGAAGCATGACTGCGAGGCACTGAGGCCATCTGGGTGCTGCACTTGGGCTAATTTTATAGACAATTAAATCTGCAAAGATTGGCCAATGTGTGTGCTTAAAGCTGTGTGCAGAGGTGACGGCTGAGTTTCTTTCCATCTCCTGAAGAATTTTTAAGCAAACAGGGTATGGTCTGAGAGGCCTATTAGAGCAAGGAAGAATGAGGCTGAATCGCAGGAGGTGGCTTGTGGAGGCCTGGGCCAGGGGTGTGCTCTCTCCGGAGCAATCCCCTTCTGGGCTAGAGACACCATGGACTCTGTACCCAGCGTGGTCCAGAGCCTTCCTTCCGACCAGCCCCTTCCTTCCTTCCTGCCTGTGGTGCAACCCCAGGCAGGTGCTGCACTTTCCTGAGCCTTGGTTTCCCATCTGTATGTGGGGATAAAACACCTGCCATGTGGGGGTGCTGCTGGAGTTACGGGGGCTGATGCTGAGACCCCTTTCGTGTGTGCTGTCTAGAGCCTTGCTCTCTCTTTGCCTGGCAGGTAAACACCTGCAGAGCTGGTGTGTGTGGTGGGTGGGGTCAGACCAGAGCAAGCTGCCAGACCGACTGCAGCATTCTTAGAGTTGACTGCCAGCCTAAGACCCTGGGCGAATCCTTCACACCCCTTTGGGTGACCAGTTTTCAGTGTTATAATAGAAAGAATTACTTGAGTCAATTGTCAAAGTCCAACTTCCAGCACCTGCAGTCCCTTTAGCCCCCTGGTGTCTGCCCAGTCACCCAAAAGTCAGTGACTTAAAGTGGTATTTGTGATTTCATATGCGTCTGTGAGTCAGCCGGGTGGGTTTTCCATTCTCTGTTGGGCTCTCTGAGGCATCTGCAGCGGGGCAGGGGCTAGCTGGTCCAAGATGGCCTCAGCTGCCCGCTCTTAGGAGGGCAGAATGGCAAGTACAGAGGTAGAAACCCACAACACTTTCTAACATCTTGCTGTGCACCAGTTTTGCCGCAGTGACATTGGTCAAAGCAAGTCTGGTCTGAACGTTGGGTGGAAGGCATTGCTGAAGGGCTGGACACAGGACAGTGCAGGAACATGGCTTAGTCACTTTTCTGTCACCCACAACTTAAAGGAGGAGAGGTCTTCTTCCAGTTTTTAGGGGGTTCAGTCCATAGTTGGCTGGCTCCGAGGCAGGAACAGAGTGGTAGAGGGGCCTGGCGGAGGGAAGCTGTTCGGCTCCTGGCAGCTTGGTAACAGCAGCAGCAAGAGATTCACCCTCCCCAGGCCCGTCCCAGGGACTGTCTTAGTCACTTTTTCATTCCCGCTCCAGGGCAGAAACGGCCTGGTGGAGGAGGCTGGTGGAGACAGCAGCTCCTGTCACAGTGGCCAGGAAGCCGAGAGAAGGGGGCGTGTGTGTGGGGGGACCCGCTGCATCCTCAGGCCAGCCCTGGTGACCGCCTCCTCTGCGTCCTAACAGCCCCTCAGCCCGAGCTCCTCAGCGGATTCACCCGGAGGAGAGTCACCTCCCAGAGCTCATCTCTGAACTTGAGCCCTTGGAAGACATCCTCGATCGAAACCACAACAAACCGCCAGGGCCATTACAGCAATCTGCACCATAGCCCCTGCCGGCTGAACCCCAATTTCCCCTCTTACTTGCAGCGCCCAGGCAGCTGGGCTGCGATTCACAGTCTCCCATCTTAGATGTGCCTCAGCGATTCCCAGGAACCCCTAAGCAACACTTCCCTCTTCCTCCCCACACCGGACATCAGCTCCTCCCTCCGTTCCTCCCCGCCGCTCCTCCTCTCTCTGCGCAGCTCCTGGCTCCAGAGCCGTCCAGCTTCCTGTTACGTGCACGTGTAGATTTTAACCGACCACCTATGGTGAGCCAGGCAGGATCCACTACAGTTCAGTGGCCGAGCAGACGAGGACCTTTCCCCGGCAAGCTTGCATCTGCACGGAAGCATCCACCATAAGCAAGCGAACGAATCAACAAGGTGATCCGGTGGTGGAAAGGGCTGGAAAGAGAGAGCAGAGAAGGGGGAGGGTGAGCGCCCGGGCGGGTGGAGGCGGTGGCCACTCCTGGCAAGGAGTTTGGTGGGGTGTGGCTGTGAAGGGCCGCCTCCTGGGAAGCCAAGCAGGAAGCAGGGCGGTCCAGAGGCGCGAGCAGAGGCGAGCCACGCTTTGGAGCAGAGTCCCGGAGGGGGAGACAGGTGGGAGCAGGTCGGGCTGGGCTTTGGGGGTCTTTGAGTTTCCCTAAGTGGAGGGCACGAGCAGGAAAGCCTGAGGTCCGTGCGTACTGTGCGGAAGGCCCCGCGCTGCTGCGTGAGTAGTGAGATGCCACGCGTGTACGTCTTTCCTCCTGTCCTTCTCCGGGGTCAGGGAAGTGTGCTTCGACCAGCTCCAGATCTGGCTGCTCCTGGATCGTCCCGGGCACTCCCCTCGGCTCCCCCAGAAGATGCCTCCTTGGCCTCGCACAGCCTCTCCTTGCTCTCCGTGGCACCTGGTCGTGAGGTACTCATTTGCTTAGGCCTTCTCTTTTTACACGTAAGTAATACCGTTTTTAGACATACCGTACAGCATCCGAATATGCATTTGGTGGATATTATTGCAGCCCCCAGTTCTCCCTTCCTAGCTCTATGCCTTTGGCAGCCTCCCTGGAAGTCGCTCCCCAGGGCAGGGCAGGGCAAGGCTTCCCAGCCCTCTGAACTTGAGGCCTGCCCTGGCCATTGATCAAGTGACCGCTCGTGCGCTCCGAACACACATAGGCCCCGGAGATGGTGCAGGTTCTTCTTGCTCTCCGACTGTTGCGGTTCCCCAGGGAGCAAGGCTCAGGGCCTTGAAGAGCAGCCCGGCACGCCAGCCACACCCCGCTTGGCGCCTGAGCGGAGCTCGGCCTGGTCTCATAGCAAGAGCCATGGATACAGTGATGCGAGCAGACAGTGCCACAGCATCAAGCGTCTGTCCCTGCCCCTCCGCTCCACTCCCGCTTCCCGGAGACTGCGCGCACTGCCATTTCTGCGCGTGGACCCAAGACCCCGTGAGCAGCAGGGCACGCGTGGCTGCTCAGCACTTCGCTCTGTTTCACCTTCGATCTTGGAGAGCCTTTCACATCATCACGGGCAGATCTTTCCCGGGTCCATATGAGGCTCTCTGCTGTGCTGTTGGGGTCTCTCATCGTGGTTTATTTAACCAGTGCCCCACGAACGTCCACTGGGGGAGTCCAGGCTTCTCTGGCTTCAAAGGCAGCAGCAGAGCCGAGGTGGACTTGCGAAATTGTGTCTGTGGCTGCGTTCCCCAAGAGAGCATTGTCTGGTCTCCCGCCTCTGGGTGGCTGAGCTTGTCCATGGCTCCTAGTGCCCGTCCAGTCCTCTATTATCTGTGCCGCTCCCATCTTCAAAACCCCACACAGAGTCCAACAACGATGACCATCGGCCCATCGTCCCCCTTCCTTTAGCTGTGCCCGGCCACTCACACTTCTTGAAAAGCGTGAATGAGAGGGGAAGAGAGAGCAGAGCGGTTCAGGTGAGGAGGGAACAGGCTTGAGTTAGCACTGTCTCATTTTTGTACGGTTCAGTTGGGCAGAGGTACATTAACCAAATTTCTCACTTTGTAGCCTTCTGACTAGCTCATGGAGTTATTATGTATTTTCCTCTATCTCTCATCTGTCCTCTCATTTAATTTCTCCTCTAGAGACATCCACTCTCCTGTATTTTAAGTGTGTTCTTATGTAAGTATGCATTTTGGAGAAATAGGTAATGTTTATTTTTAACTATGTATGTGTTTAATTATAAAACTAATATTGCTGCCATAACTCTTTTCCTGTTTCTGATCTTTCCCCTGCTGTGTGCTGGGAGTCTTTCCACACTGCTTTTCTCCCACGTATTTTACTACAGCTGATTTCGTTCTTAGTGTCTAATCCCCTCATGTGGGTGCCTAGGTGAGGTCCACTTCCTATCACTGTGAGGACAGCTGCAGAGAACATTCTTACCGGGGTCCTGGTGTAGATCTGGACCCGTCTAAGGCTTTGTCTTCCTTCAGGGTTTCTTGGAAGTGGCATCTGAGATGCTGGAGATGTGGTTGCATCTAGGAGGAAGGATGGTTAATATTGATCATCAGCTTGATGGGATTGGGAACACCCAGGACATTAATAAAGCACTCTTCTGGGCGTGCACAGTAAAGCCAGTAAAGATGGCTTTCATAGGCCTGTTTTCTCTGTGGCCAGCAGGGGCTTAATACCACGGAGGACTTCTGAGCTACTGGGACTTGCTTTGAGGTCCCCAGTGGGACAGAAGGCCTCAGTGGACAGCAGTCCCCGGCCATAGCCCTCGCTGACTTCTCCCCGCTTCCTGTCCCTGTGCCTGAGGGCCTATCCGTGGTATAGCAGATGGGGTCCCAGTTCGCCAGGGGGTTACAGCCTGGTGGGGGTGGATTCCTGACCAGCAAGCGAAACTTAAGGTGACTCCAGACTAAGCATGCTGTGAAGAAAGGGGATGTGGCAGTGGCCTGGCGAGCGCGGAGCACGAGCCCCCAGGTGGGCGGGCCGTTCATCCTCCACAGGGAGGGACAGCCCCACTGAGCCGGTGGCCTCCAGACGCAGTGAGGAAGGCCTGGGGAGGAGGTGGGAAGCAGCAGTCCACAGCCGGCAGCTATTAGAAAGGCCCAGCTGCTTGTGTAGAGCAAGGGCTCTTGGGGCTGATTTGTCCTTCTGGGGAGCTCTCCAGCTCTCCCCAGCTGTGTGATAAAGAGTCCCCAAACCACAGCCGGAAACCACCTCAGAGGAAATCTGTTGTGCACCTCCCTCCAGGGCCAGCATTCTGCTGTGCATCCCTCATGAGACTCGTTCATCTAGGCTTGCACATCCTGGCGATCAGAGTGTGCACACCAACCACGTCTGTCATTTAGGACTCTCCTAGTTGCAAGTGACAGAAAATAACCCACTGTGGCTTCCGTATAAAGGGAGTTTGTCAGTTCCTGCAACAGAAAAGACAAGGAGCAGCTTCAGGCATGATCTGATCCAGATCCCAAGTGATGGTAGGGTTCAGTCTCTCCTCGCCACTCCGCTGCGCTCTCTGCTGACTCCATCCCCGGGCAGACTTTCTGTGAGCAGCACAGAAGAGCCCACAGCCAACACTGTGCATGGAAGCCTGGGCTGGGGCAATCAGGGCCAAGTTCGCATCCCAAACCAGTTCCTTTGGGTACACAGAATGGCAGGCCTGGGCCCGTCACTGTCTCCCAGTGCAAATGCACCTGCCCTTTTCCATCCCCAGGTAGATGCAGTTTGCTTAAATGGCTGCTCTTACAATGTAAGAATAAGCACTATGTTTGAAAGAGAAGAATGTGATTGTCTGTTAGTGATAACCTTGTAGAGGATCGTGGGCTCACTGAGGATGAAACTGGAGCTGATGTGTTTTGCTGGGAGCCAGGGCTCCATCCAGCTGCTTCCTTAAAGCATAGGTCAAAGCCAGGTGGGGTGGTGCACGCAGGTGCAACTTAGCGAGACCATATCTCAGGATAAAAACCAAAAGAGGAGCTGGGGATGTAGCTCAGCATGGGGGCCCAGCGTCACGTTGAAGGGGTTCGCCTTCAGTCCCTCAAACAAAACAAAACAAAACAAAAACCAAAAATGGGTCAGTGCAATGCTCCCGTTCTCTTGGGAGCTCGAAGCCAGCCAGATGTCTGCCCGACTTTGCTGCAGCTTCTCTGCCTGCTGAAGCTGGTGGAAGGGACTGTGTGGACCCTTTTGATGGGAGGGCGAAGACTCAGCTTCTTGGGGGCTGCAGATTCTAAGCGATGCCTGCTCTGCTTCATGGCCATGGTCATTTACTTAATTTTGCCTGCAGCAGGAAGCTGTGGTCGCTCTTCCTGGCCCTGGGGACGAGAGCACCTCTTCTCTCATCTCTGCCAGGCTGAGGGAGAACAGAGTAACCCCAAGCTCGGTTTTTATCTGTATCTTGGGTGTCTGTGTTCTCCTGTATTATTAGATCAGGTCAAGGTTCACCCACTGGCAGTGTTTTTAAAATTAAATTTTCTACTTTGAGATAACGGTAGATTCCTATGCAGTTGTACAGAATAATCCGGAGAGGGGCTCTGTACACTTTACCCAGTTTCCCAGTGGGAAAGACTGTGGTCCAGTATCAGCACCGTGACGTCAGGATGCAGAACATTCCCATTGCTCTGAGCATCACACTTGTTGCTCCTGGATAGCCGTACCACCTTCCCTTCCACCTCTTCTCCTGGCCCGTGAATCTGTCCCCTACTTCCGTAATGTTATCATTTCAAGGATTTTATGTAAACATAGCCATCAACTGGGCATTTTTAGTGCTTGCCTGTGTTCCCAGCACTCTGGGAGTCTGAGGCAGGAGAATCACAGGTTCAAGCCTAGCCTGGGCAATTTAGTGACATAGCAAGACCTCCCCCCACCAAAAAAAAAAAAAACCAAAAATCCACAAAAAATATAAAAGGGCTGAGGATGTAGCTCAGTACAAAAGCCCTGAGTTCAATCTCCAGTGTCATCCCTCCCGCCATTTGTAAAACTATGTGGTCATGCGCATTTTGGGTTGGCTCCCTTGGCATTATCTCTGGTGATTAATCTAGGCTTTTGCTCCGGTTGGTATTCCTTCCTGTGGGGTTTCCTGTGGGATGGACGCACCACGGTGAGTTTGAGCACGCACTAGGTGGAGGGCGTTAGGACTGTTTCCAGGTCCAGGCTAGCACAAATAAAGCTGTTACATTATGTTCTTATGAATTCATCTTCTCTCCTATGAGATAAGGGCCTAGAGAAGTTCCAGGCCAGCTGGTCATCATATGCTTACTTTTCCAAACCGCTGAATTGTTTCCAGGGCACTGGTACTGTTTCACACTCCCCCCAAAGCAACGCGGGGGCGATTGAGTTTCTCCGTGTGCTTGCCAGCCCTCTGTGTTGTCATTGTTGCGGTTTTCAGCCGGTTTTGGTGGTCTGTAGTGGCGTTTCATTACGATTCTGATCATCACCTCCCTAAGTCAGTGCTGTTTTTGTGTGGTTCTGTGCCATCTCAACGTCCTCCGCAGTGAAATGTTTCTTCATGTCTTTTACCCACGTTCTAGTTGGGTCACCTCTTTTTATTATGGCTGCTGAGAGCTTTTTATGTTTTAAGAACCAGTTGTTTGTCCATCATGTGACTTGTCGATGTGCTCTCTCAGTCTCTATATTATTGTCATTCATCCTTTTAACAGGACTTTTGCAAAACAAAAATTGTAATTTGGATGAAGTCGAATTTTCATATTGTCTTTTTATGGCTCATGCTTTTGGAACTCTTTGCCTGACTCTACACCTTGAAGGTTTTCTCCTGTTTCATACTGACTTTTGGTTTACATTTAAGTCTGCTATCTCTTCTGGGTTCGTTTTTCTGTGCGGAGTGTGAGACTTTGGTCAAGATCCACTTTGTTTTTCTGCTCATGGATGCCCAGCGGCGGCAGCTCTGTTTGCTGAAAGGACTACCTTTCCTCATTGTTCTGCCTTTCTGCCTTTGTTGAAGCGACTGTGTGTTTTTGCGAGGGCCTGTTCTACATTTTCGACTCTGCTTTACTGACGGACACGTCTGTCACTGCAGTGATATACACTACGTCTTGGACTGATGTAGGCTGTTTGCTCTCACTTCATTCTTCTATTTCAGATTTGCTTTGTTTACTAAAGTCCCTTTGTCTTTCCTCCTGACTTTTGAAATAGTCTTGCACATATTTGTAAAAAGCGTTGCTAGGACTTTGATCAAATTATACTAAATCTGTGTGTCTATTTGGGCACATGGACATCTTTATATGCTACATATTCCAATCTATAAATAAGATACAGTGTATCTCTCCACTCATTTGTATTTTCTCTGATTTTTTTCAGCAGTGTTCAGCATGCAAATTCCGTATGCATTTTGTTGGATTTATCCCTCAGTGAGTTCTTTTTAATGATTGCAGATATCTTTGTATGTTAAACCTTTGTGTCCATGTATTTACTGCTAGTAAATAGGCTTACAGTTTTTGTTATTGTAAGGGTATTTATGTCTTCCATTTTTTATTCAAAATATTGAACATTTTGAGTTTACGTGGCCCAAATTCATACTGGAATGATGATTTCAGAATTTGTTGTCAATGGAAAATATACGACCTAGGTACCAAAAAGGTTGCTTTTCCAGTAAATATGAAGCTAGATTCTAAAAAGGAAATGAAGTACAGTTGTTTTTTTGAATGTTTACCTTGAATCTTATAAACTTGTTGGACTCAGCTTTACTTTTTATTTATTTTTTTGATAGAATATTTAGTAGTTTTGAAGTAGACACTCATGTCATCTGAAAATAGGAACTGTTTAGAAAAATAATTTCTTGTGCTAATTTCATTTTTTTTTTGCCTTATTGCACTGGTCAGAACTTCCAGCACTATTCTGTGTAAGAGGGGGTTAGTTTCTAAACTTTCATTATTAAGTATAATGTTAGATATTTTTTGTATGTATTTGTTTCTTTGCTGATTTCCCCTTGCTTATATTTA